CAAAGCAGCTGCAGCAGCAGCCCAGCAGCAGCAGCAGCAAACCAGCAGCCGCAGCAGCAGCAGCAGCAAACCAGCAGCAGCAAACCAGCAGCACCAGCAGCAGCAGCACCAGCAGCAGCAAACCAGCAGCACCAGCAGCAGCAGCACCAGCAGCAGCAAACCAGCACCAGCAGCAGCAGCAGCAGCAGCAAACCACCAGCAGCAGCAGCAGAGCAGCAGCAGCAAACCAGCCGCAGCAAACCAGCAGCAGCAAACCAGCAGCAGCAGCACCAGCACCAGCACCAGCCCAGCAGCAGCAGCAGCAAAGAAGGCAAAGCATCAAAGAAGCAGCAAAGCAGCAGCAGCAGCAGCAGCAGCAGCAAAGCAGCAAATTAGCAGCAAAAGCAGCAGCAGCAGCAGCAGCAAAGCAGCAGCAGGAGCAGCAGACCAGGAGCAGGGACCAGCAGCACCAGGGACCAGCAGCAGCAGCAGCAGGGACCAGCAGCAGCAGGGACTAGCAGCAGCAGCAGCAACAACAACAACTACGAACCAGCACCAGCGACAGCAGCAAGCAACAAGCTACAAGCAACAAGCCAGCAACCTGTCTCCACCGACCAGCTCACAGCACCAGCACCGGCACCCGGCACCCAGCACCAGCACCGGCACCAGCAACCTGTCTCCACCACGCGCACAGCCAGCTCACTGCACCGGCAATCTGTCTCGAAAGCGCGCACGGGCAACTCATTGTTATTTGAAGTAAGATCCCCATAGCATCGCTATCTGGGGAACAATCGAAATCAGGAGCAGGAAGAGTTCACCACCCCCAATATCAATATCATATTGCTAAAAGCAAAGGGAACTCAGGTAGTCGAGGCTACCTTTCGTGATGATATCTGCTTCACGTTTTGGAACCAAAGCCCTTTTGGTGGTTTGGGGAGCTTGCCTGGCCAAAGCTTCAAAACGATTCGTTTGGACCAATGCTAGTCAAATTACACCAGCGTAGACCCAGATAGCTAGGCAGAATCCCACGACCTGTTGACACGCGACTGGCTGGAACAAGAATGTACGCAGTCTGCGCAGCCAGCTTACGACACCTCGCGCAATCAGCTGACACCAGCACCCGACCAGCGCCGCCGCCCGTCTTAAACGCGCGCTCAGCCAGCTCACAGCACCAGCACCCAGGACCACAACACCAGCACCGACACCCTTTTGAAAGCGCGCGCGCAGCCAGCTCATTCTTATTTGCAGCAAGAACCCCATAGCTATCTGATGGGGAATAACAACGTATTTTTTCGCGTATAAGTTTATGCGCACAAAAGTACGCGCGCAAACAGCAAAGCCCGTAAGTGTCATTGGCCCAAGGTGAAGCAGTATCCAGCGCCACTATTGACTTTGTAGCATGCTTGAAGCAACGATCTGCAGAACGACGAGGCCGTGTGATCTTGCGCGTACAAGTTTATGCGCACAAAAGTATGCGCACAATCGGCAAAGCCCGTAGGCTTCACTCGCCCAAGGCCAAGCAGCATCCAGCATGACTATTGTGTGTGTAGCATGCTGAAACATGCTGGTACAATGGTCGGTTGAGAGCCTGACGCATAGAACATTATACGTACAAAAGTATAACAGTACAGCCCTTGACACAGCTGTCGGCCAAAACAGAACCTGAAGGGTGTAAATACCCCACAGCGCTAATAGACCAAGAACGCTCAAGCGACAACACCGTATGATGTTGCGTGCATAAGTTCATGCGGCCCATGACTGCTTTGCACTTCATTGTCAGAAGCGGCGCTTGGTCGCCCTTCATTGCTGCAAGCGGCGGGTTGTTGCCCTTCACTGTCAGAAGCGGCGGTTGTTATCACTTCACTGTCAGAAGCGGGCACCAGCACCGAGCACAGGCGCGCCAGCTTTCGGCGCCCAGCACCAGCACCCAGCACCGGTATAGCACCAAGCACCAGCACCCGGCACCCTGTCTCCACGCGCACAGCCAGCACCCAGCACCGGCGCCCAGTCTCCACCACGCACACTGCCAGCTCACAGCACCGGCACCCCGCTGTCTCTACCATGCGCACTGCCAGCACCCAGCACCGGCACCGTGTCTCCACCACGCGCGCAGCCAGCTCACAGCACCCAGCACCAGCACCACAGCCCGCACCCGGCACCGGCACCCAGCACCGGCACCCTGTTTCCACCGCCCACCACCACCGGCAACCTGTCTCGAAAGCGCGCGCAGGCAGCTCATTGTTATTTGAAGTAAGAACCCCATAGCTTTGCTGTCTGGACAAAAAGGATCGCCGCATATACGCAAGCTACACCACCAGCACCAGCACCGGCAGCACCAGCACCGGCACCAGCACCAGCACCAGCAACCTGTCTCCACCACGTGCACAGCCAG